GGTTTGGATGAATTTGAATTAAATAGGGTGAAAACTTGGTTTGCTATGTAAATAGTTTCACATCAACAATATATGTTAACTGCATCTACTAGTAGCCGCCTGTTCACCTGTTTCCGAGGATTACGTCCCCTCTCCTTTCCTCTGTGTAGGTACTATGCAGGAAACCTCGAGGCCAAGTCAACAAACCATGACACTCTGGGTTTAATTCACACAGCAACCAAAGGGCTAATAAAAGCTATCGAAACTGGTGGAATAGATTCTGTGATGGAATGGGAAGTGGATGAAGTGCTGAACTGGACCAACACACTCAACTTTGATGAGTAATTTCACGTTGCTATTCTTGGGCAGCAAGGGCAGGCGTCAGATATTTTTGTCTCTAATATTTCCCACTTCCATGTTGAATCTTGGGGCCACATAGTTTAAAAAAAAAAAAGAACAAAAAAACCTTGAGTCTATTATCTGTCTAGAAAGATGAGGGGGAAATGGTAAAAAAAAAAAAAAGGAATGTTCTAAAAGTAGAAAAAGGAAACCTAGACTTAGGCGTTCTTTACTCTCAGACTTTATTCTTATGCCTTAGTCTAGGTCTGCTTTACTTCTTACACTGGGAAACTGAAAACACGAAGTTAATAATACAAATTATTTTCTCAATGTATATTCCCTAATTGTCCTGTGTGGGACATTAAAAAGTTATAATTTTTCATTGACATGATTTGACCCTTGAAAAACATTTTTAGTATTTTTTGTGTGATAAGAAATTTTAAAATATTTAATACAGCCATCAGGGAAATGCAAATCAAAACCACAATAAGATCCTAGTTCATACCCACGAAGATAGCTATAATTAAAAAGACAGACAGATACAATAACGAATGTAAGTATTGCATGGATGAAGTGGCAGAAAAAATAATGTTTTACTTTTAGTCTTTATTTTCGATCCTTGTTAAGATGGCATAAATAAAGAAACACAAGAAAAAGGAAGGAATTCGGAACAGGAAGGTTAGAAATGTGAAACAGGGAAAATTAGGTTGACTGTGACTGAACAATAGACCAGGAAAAAGAGATCAGAGAAAGCAGAGAAGAGGACAGTAAGAAAAGCAGAGAGAAAAGAAGAAAAAGGGAAAGAATGACTAAGAAAACAGGAAAAAGAGAATAGAAAAAAGAAGATGATGGGAAGGATGTATTAGAAAATTAAAAGGGAAAGATAAGAAAGGATAAAGAACTAATTATCCATCTTAGATGCTCTAAAATATTTTGTAATAAATAAATAGTAAAGAGATTGTATGATTCAATCACCCCACTATCTTGTCCAGTCCACAGTAGTGGGATTCCTCAGAGACAGCACGTTTGTGGTGTCTAGGGCACTGAATAAGTAAGATGGTCACAGTGATGCAGGAAATGACATCCAAGGACAGGAGCTGTCATGCTGTACTTCCTCCTTTCCTAAGAAGATTCCTAGAGAAAGGAGAGAGAGGCAGGGGCTGTCCATTCTGAATGAACAGGATAGAGAGTTCTCTCAGGTGAGGCTCTGAAATCCTGTTCTGCCTTTCCCTTCTGTGCTTGGATAATTCAAGCAAAGGGCCAGCAAGCTGCAGGGAAAGATTACAAATTAATCCACACCCAGATTCTATATTCTATCACGAGTGGAATACGGAAGAGTGAAACAGTTGCGCTCAAAGGGAGGACATAAATAGGCTTCTCGGTCTACAAACGACTTTCCCCACCATCATCCCCTAAAACCTGTCTCCGCTAGGTGACAGCGACTTCTAATGGCTTCCCTTTGTGGAAAAAAGGGATAAAAACAGAATAAACCAGCAAGACGTGAAGTGGTTTTTGGTATCTCACATCCTGTATGGAGTGGGATAAATACATCTAGCTTTGATACGGTGAGACTAATTCAAAATCTCCCTTTTTGAAAACGTAGACACCTCACGTTTCCAAATTACGTACAACCTCTGTCAGTTCATAGTCTGACTTGGGCAAGATCACAGTTTGGCACCGACCTGGGATTCTTAGCGAGTTTTTCTGTTGAGCCCTGGACAACAAAAATTTCAAATGGAATCCAGCATGATTATTTGGGGATATTGCAGTAGTGTTACTGACCACAAGATAACTGATGATCTCAGGCAAAACCAACATTTGCAGGGACCTTCCCCTAGCTGAGAGTAGACATTAGGTATAAGCACCTTCTTCCCAGTGAATTTATGGTCTCCCCAGTCTCCTTTCCTCTTAGATCTTGGCAGTCGTCTAGGTATTTATAACTGGCTTGATGATACCTTATTTGATGAGAATTTCGAAGTCCGACTTCTTTTCCTTCAGAAGAATTGGTAGCCACTAATTCCTTGAAGTATCCTTCAAAATCTATAGATGGTTTTTGACAGACCATTAGAATGACATAAGTGTGCTGAACACTGATACTGGGTGATACCAACCAGATTCTTCCCAAAGGCTTTGGTGCTAACCCCTTGTTATGACAGACGGACGCTCTCCTGGGAAGAAGCCGGGTGAATCTTCAGATCAACATCATCAACTGAATACAACATTATTATAATTTTAAAGAGTGGATAGTGTCAACTTCACTCTTGGACTCAAGGACCCGATGGGTATTGTGGCAAATTCTGTGGTGTGCAGAGATGCGTTGCTGCCGGTGCGTAGGATGGAAAGCAATGTCTGCATTACTGCTAGAGTCACCCGCACAGTGCCACGTAGTGGCTCCTCTGCCTGCCGCCGGCATTCTTCCTGCTGGATTTTCAGGGGCGTGTTCTCTTATCAAGATGGGTGTTCCTCTTCCAGGATCGTCATATTTTTCAAATTGCTAGTTAATTTTGACATACCCTATTAAATGGTCCACAGCTGGGATATCTTACATAATTTTCTATTAACCCTGTTGGTTGGTGAGAGTGCTCAGTGGGCAGTATCAGTATCTGAAGCTGCTCTTTGATGTCTAAGACAGGGAATTGTGCGGCCTCTGTGGCTCAGGACTCTTCCTGGGCTTTTAAAATGTTACATTTGTATTCCTGAGAGATTCATGGTAGATTTCACATGCACTTTGCTATTATCTGAGAAAATTCCAAAAATTTGTTAGAAAGACAGATCTATGATACAAACAACATGGTAATGCTGTAATCCGATTGTCGCTTCTATTTGTAAAGCTTAGATTTCTCATTGGTTACTGCTGGCATGTTCCTTATGAAAAGTTCTTTTTAAGCAATCGAGTAAATTCATACCTTGACCTCAGGTAAAGCCGAGTCAGTGATCAGTCTTAAATATTGCATGTGTTTGTGCCCTAGACTGTCAGGGCTTAGCGCACACTTGATCAAAGTCCTTTATCTTGGTTCCTTGAAAGTGGAATGAAAACCTTTCAGTACGTAAATCCAAGGAAGCAGGGCGATTCTCTTCATAGTGTTCCTGAACAACCACTGAAAGCACAGAGTCCGCCTAAATTTAAGGTCAAGCCAGACTGAACTGTCAGCTAAGAGACCCTGGAAGGGGTTTACGCCGCTTGCTGTGCTCCTGCATCTCGCCATCAGCAGCGCCCCAGCAGCATCCCTCTTAAGGCCACAGAATAAAGCTCTCGGGGCAACCGAAGGTAGCAGTGTAAGCAGCAGCCGACTTCAGACGCAGTACTTTATGACAATTAACTACTGTTGCATAATACATACCTTCCTATACCAGAAACGTTCACGAACAACACCAAGTTAACAAAAGTAAAGAATAATTCAAGTGAAAATCACAGCGTTTCCCAAAGCACATGACAGTTCTAATCCTCTTCCTGCTTTCTCGGCCAGGTTCCTTTTAGCACCTGCTGTGATCAATTCCTTACCTGATTTCTTGGGTGCAGCTGGAAGAAAGGAGGCTTGCAAAAGGGGGATACAGAGTGTAAAATCAGCTGAATAAGCCACAGGAAACCTGCCCCTTGGAGCTCTCCCTCATCTTTGTAGCTCATCATACTTGCCCTTCCCTGTCTACCTTTTCTCAGGATACACTTGTCTCCCTGTTTCAGTCTGTTTAGGGAACCGAGGTGGCAGCTGCGTGTACCCGGCTTGAACGTGATCTCTTATGTTTACTGGACACAGCAAAGACAGCGCCGTTGCTCTAATAAGATCATAAACTATTTAAATTTCCACTGACAAATAAATTAATTGATTAAATAAATTTCCACTGATATGTCAGAGACAGTAGGTCTGGCAATCCAGAACCAAGAAGAAAGTTATGTTGTAGTTTCGCCAACTTTTTCCTTCTCAGATTTTTCCAATCATAGTTTAATTTAGTGTATTTGTGGGACAGGGCGAGCTGTGAGTCTCTCTACTCTGCCATGTTGGCACCTCCCCTCTGTATGTTTAATTTAGAAGTTGACTAACTTCTTAGTTGTCACTTAGTTGAGGACGTGGTCCTGCAGGAGTAGAACAGAATAAAATGAGGAGAGGTGGGCTGGAGGGAGGCCAAAAGGCACCAGTACGGTAGATGGTGGGCGCCATTTTTATAGCTCCTCCAACTCCTTGTGCTGGGGGTCGCCTGAGGTGCATGACAGCAACTTGGAGGTGGGAAAGTCAAGAAATTAAACATTTGGACTAGTGAATTTGTCACCATTAATCTAAGATTTCATAGAGAAAGTGGAATTTTAGAAGTAGTCTAAGTATGTACTAATGAATCAATTTATCACTTACTAATAAATCAATTTAATGAATGCTTATATAATGTGCTTAGGTACATTGCCAACTGGAAGGAAATTGCTACAAGCAACTCTTCAGCTAACTTCAAAAGTAGGTGACTTTTAGCAATAATGGGAAATTCTTATAAAGAAAAACAATACATCGCACACATGCACACATCTCTAAGCACCTAACAAGCACTTCACTTCTCACAGTACACAGACATAAATAAATTTACGTATAAAACTGTAATCTGGGGATAAAAGGAAATGTTCTATTTTATTTAGAGTTGGCTAAAATGATGTTTTAAAAAAATGAATCCTCTTTTTAAGTTGCATATCTCATGGTTTTGGTAATAATTTTAATGAGCAGACTTCACTTGGCAAAATAAATGTTTCAGAACGTTGGAGATATTTTGTAGGTTCTGTGCCACTGCGGTCCCCCAGGCGCTCACACTACCAAGAAGCTGAAAGTGACAGCATAGTGCGCAGCCAAAGCCTAGTTACGGTTTCGTATACTCTGAGTCCATGATGTCCCACTGTCATCTGTCACTAGCTGAGAGAGAGAGGTGACCGCTGCAGAGTGCTGATTCAGACTGCCTGATTTTGACCTTTTGGCTCTTCTGTTAACTAACTGTATGATCTTGCGCAAGCTTCGGGCTCAGTCTCCTCACCTGCAAAGTGAGAATGACAATCGTATGTGGCTCCTAGACGGCTGTGAGGTAGTAAGAGACAACTGCAGGTGAAGAGCTCAGAGTAGTGCCCGGCGCATGGTATGTGCTCTGGAAACGTTCGCTGTCATTAGCTTTACCCGTCCACTTATTTCCAGCTCGATGCCACCACCACAGTCCAGGTTGCCACCCTCCCTCTGCAGGCTTCTGGGACAGCCTCCAAACCTGTACAACAGATAGTGATTGAAGCAAAACACTTTTAACAAACTCTTCTTTGGCAATCACTTACGTGGAAGTGCTGTCTTTAAAGTACTTTCATAAAATTGACTCATTCGATCTTCAGAACAAGCCAACGAGACAGGTTCTATTAACTGTATTTTACAGACACGCAAACAGTCGCCAAGTTTCTTGCTCAAGGTCACAGTCAGTTCCCGGGAGGGCCGGGATTTGAACTGAGACTGGACGGCTCGAAAGCCCATGCTCTCACTGATGACGACCTCTGCTGCCCCTCACAGTTCTCCGCTGCACTTAGAATAAAATCCTGAGTTTATCATGGCGCTCTGGCTCTGGTCTAGCTTTCCACCCTTATCGTGTCCCACTCTCCCCCTCACTCACAGCCACCCAGCATCACCGGCCTCTTGCCTGGTCCTCAGACACATGCTGTGGTTTCCAAGTCGGGAGTTTAATGGAGTTGATGGCCTTCTGGAGAACAGGTTTAGGCAACTGTCTTCATTTGAGGGTAGGAAGTTGTCTGTTTTGTTTGCTATGGAATCCCCAATGGGTAGCACATAGTAGGGTCTCAACGACAGATGGAAGAATATAAAGGAATGACAAGTACAAAAATGGAAGCAGAGCATATAAATGACTGAGCTAAAAGATTATTGTGAAGAGAAGGAGATAGCGTGGTAATTGGAAGGAACGTGAGAACAAGTGAAAATTATTTTAAGTAGTGGCGATCTGCATCATAACTGAAGGCAGCGGGAGGTGACACACTGAAGATGCTGGCATTGGAAGGAGGAGAGGCTGTGTGCACACCTTCAAAGAAGCACGAGGAAATCAAATCCAGAATTTGGAAACTAGCTCTAGGGTCAGAAAAGGCTTCTCTTCATTTGTGAACACAGACTATTCGCTGGTAGTTAATTGTGGAGTGCTAACCAGATGCCAGAGTAAATGCTAAGCTCTTCACATGCACCATCACACTTAGTGCTCACAAAATATGCGGAGGATGTGCTATTACTATCCTTATTTTATGGATGAGGACACTGAGACAGAGGCCAAGGAGCTTGCCTCAAATTACAGAGCTACGGGTAGTAGATTAAACCTCAAGCCCAGATCCTACAGAGCCTTCTGCAAAGATGGACAATGACATACGGTAGTGAAGAGTAGGGTGATCTCAGAAATTTGGGACATTTATGGCTTCTGTTCAATGGGATATAAAAGATAAGCCCTAAGAGTGGTGAAAGGAACGTGGGACAGACTAGCTGGCACGCAGGGCCGTGTAGATTAAGGCTATTATCACATCCGCCGTCTTGCTAAATCTTTGTCATTCCTCTCTAGGTTTCAGGTTTAAGGAAGCAAAAGGGAAAATATATGACTATGAAGATAAATTGGAAGAGGAAATGGGAGCTTCAGAAGATACTTCATTTGAAAATATTTACGAAGGACCGGGTTTTACTAGACTAACGCCTGATTCCACTTATGGAATATAATTATAAAGCACTTTCTCTTCTCTGCTGAGCTATAACCCTTCAAGGCCCCATTCCATCAGTTACTGTCAAGAATCGTCTATTCTGACTGGAACGATTGTGTATTCTCGGCATAGAATCTAGCCCAACTAAGTGTGGAGGATTAAACAGAAGAAGAACATCGGGATGAATGCAGGAGTCATGGAAAATGCAGAGATTACTCCTGGCATTTTGAAAACCTGTAGCATTCTCACAATCATACTGAAATAAAGATATTATACTTAGGTGCAAAAAAAAAAAACCCTCAGTCGGATTGTTTTCCTTCTTTATTTGAAGCATTCTTTATTTATGCATTTCTGTCAGGCAGAGCTCTTTTTTAATTAAAAAAGGGGAAAAGGCAGGGTAGCAAGTTCTTTTTATTAGAAAGTAAAGCCTTACTAGAAGGCCCAGTGCCAGTCAGCTTGAACATCCTTGAACAAAACCGGGTCA